CACACACACACACACACACACGCACACACACACACAAACACACACTCCCCCTCGGCAAAAAGAGGCTCGGAGGTAGTGGTGGTCTTAGCACACCATAGAATCATCCCTGGCAGTGAGGTACCCAAGGGACCTATCTACGAGTTGTCTCCTATGGAACCCGAAGAAGTATAAAAACAACTGCCGAAACTCGTAGGCCAAGGATGGATCACGCCAAGTTCTTCACTTTATTTCTCCTCCCCCTCCTGGTGCATCCCCTGACAATCAAGCGTCCACCACAGGAAGTCAGTGGAAGCATCGGACTGGAAAGATGGCTTGTATACATTCACAATCAAGGGGAGGAGGACATGAAAATTAGCGGAATACTTACCTCCAGGGCCATTGGTTGTAAGTCAGTGGAAGCATCGGACTGGAAAGATGGCTTGTATGCATTCACAATCAGGGGGAGGAGGACATGAAAATCCTGATTGTGAATGTACACAAGCCATTTCAGTCCGATGAACTCATGATCTGCGTACATTGTGTTCGGTGAAGAATGACCGTACGGTAGTGCCCTGGGCCACGTGATCCTGCCCATACCAGCCTGTGGGACAGTAGGTCACAGCACGTGGGGCCCCGAGCTAAAGTCCGGTATGAGCTGGCATATTGGTGATTGTGGGCACAATCCTGCGTGCAGGGCAATTGATAATTGGACTTATCATCCATTAACTGCCACTGTCCGCAATTACTCTGTGGTTGGCATTTTTCTAGCCCCCTTCCGCTATGCATGACCCAGTGGTATGTCCCAGCCCATGCTCAGTCCATCCGACAAGAAAACTCATCCTGTGCCCTGAGCGGGCCTTGAACCCAGCACTCAGGCATGCAACCACTCGGGCTCTATTCAACATTCTCTGGCAAATATTTATGTCGCTAATGAAGCTTTGAATCACTTTGTTGTTACCAATTAGAGGCTAACTAAAGAGGTTAACTATAGCGAAGAGTATAGGCACTAAACAGCCTAACTATAATTAGGCCTTGAAAGCTTGAATTAGGCCTTGAAAGCTTGAATTAGGCCTTGAAAGCTTGAATTAGGCCTTGAAAGCTTGAATTGCTTTTGACATACTTCGAAACTCGAATACAGGGCAGGGTGGCGGCTCAAACCACCAGCACTAGGTGCGGCAATGTACCCTGAAAAGGAAACAAGCACAAGCAAAACCTCTAAAGACCCTAAACCATAGCCAAGAGATAAAACAGGAAATTGCTCCCTGCAGAAGGTCAGACAACAAAAGAAAGGAAGAGAAACGGGAGACATAAAGGCAGAGAAATAGGTGGGGCCTCACCTATTTCGTATGAAGTAACTGATGGAGATTCCAGCACAGTTTTGCTAGAGATTGAGCTAGAGAGAGGAACAGAGAGAGGGAGAGAGAGAGGGAGACAGGATGCCATTTTTCCTGACCTCGAGGCACCAGAGGGCTGTGAGAAGTAGCCCTCCCCCTCTCCGTCTATACATTGTGTATTTTCAGAATAGTTATGTGGATGCATCTGGTCATCGGAAATCTCTAATGCTATGCTTTTCTGTCTTTTCTTTCCTCTTTCTGTCTACTCCTGAGCCCAGAATGTGTCAGAGGGACGTGAGAAACAGCCCTATTGTGAGAAAGAGCTCCATCTCTCTCTCTCTCTCTCTCTCTCTCTCTCTCTCTCTCTCTCTCTCTCTCTCTCTCTCTCTCTCTCTCTCTCTTTAAAAAAAAAAGAAAAAAAAAAGAAGAAGTAATCTTCGGTGAATTTTGGCCATCATGCTGATCAAATTCACACCGTGTGGCTATGCCCAGCGTTCTCATTGCTCTCTTTTTTTTTTCCTTCTTCTTTCCTTTTCTCCTCTTTTCTCCTCACTCCCAACATTGGCAGACTGTTGAGCTGCAGCCACTTCATAATTCCACCCTCATCCTAGCCTAGCCCAGGCTCCTTACCGAACCTACCCTCAGGCCGCTGTAATCCCGACCCGATGGAAAACTTTGGAACCTTGGATTCCAGGGTCCTGTGGAAGTCCCAACACCACATTGCTTTTTTCTTTTTTTACTATACCCACATTCGCTTTTTTTTGTTTGTTTTTAATGTACCTGGAGCTGGACCTCTGCGCCTCTCTCTATAAATCGTGCATCTTTTTCTTCTTTTTTTTAATATACCCACATTGCCTTTTTTTTTAATATGCCTGGACCGCACGTACATTTCTGACTAACCAGGCCACGGGCAGTCTTGAGCTCCCTTACCTCCAACTGCCTTTTTTTTTTCTTTTTTTAAGTCAAACGCCATCGCCACAAGCCAACTTCAAGTGTCTCAAAAACAAACAAACAACCAAAAAAAAAAAAAAAACAAGAGCTAAGGTTTCTTGACGACTGTTTGGTATAATGGATGCTGCCTGATTTCTTGGCTGCAGTCGGGGATGGGATTGGTCGGGAGTGCTTTTCCCAGCCCTGTATGGCTGCGGTTTATATGTAAGGGACGCCGGACCCGGTTTCCGGCATATAATGGAAATTCGTTACCAATATTAAAAAAAAAAAAMAAAAAAAAAAAAAAACAAAAAAAAAAAACACCGAAGATCTAAGGTTCAGGAGATTCTGATGAATCCAGGGGCGGGCAGCTCAGCAAAGCTCAGGGGCCATACACTACCGATCACGCAGATGCATTTGACGGCACGCGGCGGCCACATTCAGTCAAGAAAATGTTAATCTGAGTATGTCCTTCAAGAGGGGAAGGGCCCTACTACCGTCTTCCCCCAACATAACGCACCCTGATCATGAATGTATAGAAGCTATCTTTCCGGTCCGGTACAGGCAAAATGAGGGTGCGTTATGTTCGGGGGAAGACGGTAGTAAGGCGGTTCGGAGTATTTTAGCACTTCTTTTTCTTTTTCTAATGAAGATTATTGTCATTGATAAACTCATTATTTATTTATTTATTTTTAGAAACGATTTAAACGAATGATTAAAGACTTTTTTTTTTCAAATGAGGCCCAGACAACCTCAAAATTCTACCCGGCGCGAGGTCCCACCTACACGAATTATTTACAGATAGATACCTCCATTTGCCTGCGGCCAATGGGCCTCGGTCCATTACACAACATTCTAAATGCATCTAGTTTGTGCCATTGTCCAGATGCATTCTGATCGACGACACCACTTGAATGTATGGGACCCACCGCAGATCCAGATACATTTGCGATCTGTGCAGTGGACCAACGGCCCATATCTGTTAGTCCGTGCAAGCGGGACCATGCCCCCCGGGAAAAGGTAGTGGGGCCATTACCCAGCCCCGGCTTATGCAGGAAACCAGGTCCAGCGTCTCATCACCAATAAAAAAAAAGAAAAGAAACTATGCTATATTCTTAAAAAAAAAAAAAAAGCTATGCTATATTCTTTGAAAAATAAAATAAAACTATGCTATATTCAAGGCGCAGTGACTTTTTTGTTCCCTTCCTTTTTTTAAATCTCTCTGTATAAATAGCCACTGCGCTTTGAACTGATGACTTGTTTTCTTAACAGTTACTTATGCGTCCCATTCAGCCACAAGGGAAGTACAGGGAATATTAATTCAATTAAATGTGCCCATCAGGACATCAGCTAAAATGAGGACGACATAGTAAAAGAAAAGGACAAAAAACAAAAATAGAACGACACAGAGAAGACTACCGTCTTCACCCGAATATACGCCCGGTCATCAAAGCTGTATTTGTAGCAACTTTCAGTCTCGATACAGCCATAATGACCAGGCGTTCTAGTCGGCTGAAGACGGTAGCATGGTCCCTGCGCTCTCACGGATGACCGTACAAAATCGAGGAATGGTTCAAAACGAAACAAACAAGAAGAAATACCTTTCTCTCCCATTCTTTTTTTTTTCTTTTTTCTCCTTTTGTTTCCTTTTTTTTCCTTTTTTTTCCTTTTTTTTCTTTTTTTTCTTTTTTGAAAAGGGCAACCAATGACGTATGATCCAGGCACTCCGGCCAGGTTCATACGGCCAGGTTCAATGCGTTTGAATTACACAAACCGGAAAGGGCGTCCGGTGTCCCTCACATCATAAAGAAGTTCCCCCCCCCCCGAAAAAAAAAAAAAACATCATATAGAAGTTTGCAAGCGAGGGGTTGCAGGTCCTTGCGAAAGAACAGTTATCGTGAACCCGGCCAGGTTCCTTTGGCCGTAACCATCCTTTCTCGTCCTTTGGCTAAGATCAAGTGCAATGTATCTGCTCTGATCAGTTTAAAAAAAAAAAAAAAAAAAAAAGAAGAAGAAGAAGCAGAAGAAGAAGAAGAAGAAATAAACTGGAATCGTGCAGGGTGACTCATAAGCTAAATCGGCTGACGCTGCCGAGATAACTCCGGGTTGAATTGTGAGGTCCCCGGCCTCGATTGACTTGCTTTAATAATGAATGTACTGTGTGGTTAAAAATTAAAAAAAAAAAAAAAAAAAAAAAAAAAAAGGCTTCCATGATTAACTACAAAAGGATGCTACCGTGCAGATTGCCCGCTGCATCGCACGACCCGTGGGACCAGTCCCACTAAAAAAGGACTAACGAGGATTCAATTTGGTGGATTAAGAGCCTGAATCTGGATGTGTTTTACGCAGAGATGCAGAAAAAAAAAGCAGATCAATCGCGATTTCCTGCACCTCTCCACGACACACGTCCAGCTCCA